CAGCTGCCCAATGCAGGGAGACTGCTCCAGATAACTTCTGGGAAAGCAGTGGGAGCATGTTGTCAGAGAAGGAGCATAAGTAGGAAATCAGAGAGGGAAGAGCTGCTGACTGACATTTCTTTGAAATTTAATTTATAAGACAGAGGAGGATTTTATTTTGAATGCTAAGTTCTCTCTGGGTACTTAATAATGGGAGATTCATATTCAAATGTACTATATAGCACTTGGGCCTTTTATGCTATCAAATCCTGCATGTAGATAACTGTTGAGCTACATGAGAAAGAAGAAAGAGTGAATTTTGGCTCAGGGCACAGTGTAAACTAACAGTAATGAATGAACCCTTCTGATCTATCAGAGTATCCATATTGAATTGTTTCCTTCTTGGGTTCCAGGAAGATAAATAAGGACAATGGTTTTTCAAAGCATGAGCCCTTGGTACTGCCACTGCCACAGCACTCTGTCTCCTCTTTCCCTTCCCAGGCTGCTGAGTGTGGCCTTAGATATCTGCCTAAGGATAAGAACCGTAGATTGCATCTTACTGGCCTCTGAGGTCAGTACATCTACTTTTTTATATGTGCAATGAGCTAGATTGTTTGCAAGGAATGAGAGCAAAGTCCCTATAGTGAAGCTTGCTTCTTTGGCCTGGTTGTCAGGTTCAAACAGCCAGCTTAAAACCTGCTCCTTGAGCTCATCCATGAAGTGATTTAATGAAACAGTTCTACGCCACCCTTCACAGAATGGTGTGAACACAGAAGGGAGGCTATATTCTTTATATCAAACTGGCAGGCAATTGATATTTTGCTGCATTTCTGCTTCCAGAGTGGGGAAGTGGCAGGAACCTGTAGCGATAAGCTTGTAGGAATGCATGGGTGAGAGGCAGGGTGCAAGCTTGTCAGATTTTGTGATTTTAATCTGCTACTGTCTAAATGTTAGTGGCACCCTATACCAGTTATAATGTTGAAAGCTAATGCCAGGTAATGGTGTTCAAAGGTAAAACCTTTGAGACATGATTAAGTCATGAGGGTGGAGACCTTAGGGATGAGATTAGTGCCTCTTCAAGAGATCTGATGGAGCCTCCTTTCCACTTTCAGTATATGAGGACATAGAGGTGCTCTCTGAGAAACAGCAGATTCACAAGAGAGTGAATCTGCTACCCTCTTGCTCTCGGACTTTCTGAACAGTGAGCAATATATTCTTTTGTTTATAGATTACATAGTGTAAGGTATTTTATTACAGCACCCCCAAAGACTAAGATATGACCTATGTGGCCTGAGGAAAATATAGTGCTGTATGAATGTTTTAAGTTTTCAAAAAAAGTTATTGCAATAAAAGACACATTGCCATGGATCTGCCTCAAAAATTTCCCCCTATGAACACTTATTCTATTGATGTTGCCACTTTCTGAGGCAGTTTCGGAAGTTCTCTTTCATGACTGTCTTTATGAGATGTGATAAAAAATGCGGTGAATGTTACTGCCAAGGGCCATTCAGGCTTATAAAAACATTACAGTGTGTCCTCCTCTGCCTTATTCACCAGCTCTAGCACGATGTGACCTCTGACTCTGTCCCAAAGTCAGCATGACCCTGGAAGGTGAGTATGTTCCATGTATTCAGGACAATGAGGCAGCCACAACCGCGCAACTGAAGACTTAGGAAAGAGGACTTCCAGAACTGCTTCAGAAAGTGGCAAGAATGATGGGATACATCTGTTTGAAGTAAGGGGGTATATTTTGACGGGAATGAATGATAATGTGTCTTTTACAGTAATACTTTTAAAATATTAAACATTCACTGTATTTTTCATTACATGCCATCGTCTATTCTCTAGGGTGACTGCTGGCCACCAGACTTGCTCCTCTGAGCCAGCTGTGGAAACACAGGGGTGTGACTTGCTGAAGGTGGGAACAAAGCTGTCTGAACATACCACAGCACTCCCCTCCACTGACTACAGGCTTGGTGCTAAGGCCTAATTTTAGAAAAAAAAAAAAAAAGGGAGAATGTTGGAGAAGATGGGTTTATTTTCTTTTTCATTCTCACTTTCCATAGACAATACACGTCTGTTTCCTCTCACTTAAGGGGCAAGGATGGAGTGAATATCTCTGATCCCCATGGTACTCCCTTCTCCATCATTTCTTTGGAAGAGTAAGAAAGCTGTGTCTGGCTCGATGAGTAGAACTGTTTCCACTTGGAGCAAGTCCAGTCAATTAGATAAGTAGGCAAGCTACGCAAAAGTTACTGTTGAGTATTACTGCCAGAAAGTGGTTGCCTAGCCAATGTTTATATTTCCCGGGTCCCCAGTCAAGCCCCTAGCACTTATATTTAGGAAAGAGTGCAAGAGAGGTCTTGGTCACGGTTTTCAAGAGGTGGGTGAGCTTTCTTCAAACTCTCTTCGGCCACCTCAGTGAAGAAGACCACATATTCCTATGTGGATGAGTCATAAAAGGGAAGGCACTGGATTCCAGAATCACTCCATAGGGAAGAGGCACCCTGAACAGGAACATTTGTCTGAGGCTACTATAGGAGTAAAAAATAAACTTGTATGATATTCGAGGCACTGCACATTTAAGTTTAGTACCCAACACTTTAGCTCTACTGTAAGTAATGAACTAGATGGGGAAGACAGGTCCACGATTCTCTGTGCAATTAGACAAGAGGGTAGTTTGAGCTCTCTTCGCATCCATAAATGTGTACCAATATTTAGATTTGGAGACAGCCAAATCATTAGCAAACAGCTTTTTAGTCAAAAGGCCACTGGGCACTTAGTTTGTCCACTAATAAATGACCAGTTGGTCCCCGATTGGCTTTCCACCTCTTCAGTCTAGTTTCTATGGAGCAGAATCATGACGGAGATAAGGATCGAAATGATTAGTAGCTCAGTTTTAAATTTAGAGGGGCTTTTCCTCCTTCTAGAAGAACGAGAAAGCAATGCTCATTTAGAGCAACAGCAATGCTTTTAAAGAAGAACCTGTCAACAGCCAGATAGGAAGTTCCGTGCACGGGAACTTGGTATTGAAGGCTGATGCATAGACTTGGGTGTGGAAGGGGAAACACCAGTCCTGTAACCTCGAAGGTCAGGAGATCAGTGGGAGCACAGACAAACTGTTGGGAGAGATGCTTCTATGGGATGCATAACGGAAAGCGGGTGTACATCAGATCTATTGGAGTGACAGGTAGGAGATTTCTGAGAACATACACATGAGTGTTACTGGTAACCTGGATTCCTTTCCCTAAAACATCTCTTGGGGACCACAGGTTTTCTTATGACCAGATCACTCCAGGCAAAGAAAAGGAAAGAACAACTAGGCAAAGTCAAGAATACTTCGGGCTTGCCATCACAGACACAGAGAAAAGATGATGCTCGACCTTCCTAGAATACAGCTTATGTTTGTCCCTAAGTAACTCCTTCCTTCCTTCATTGGGTAAGAGGTCCATGAGGTCTTTGCCTCACTGTCATGATATGTAGGTCTTAACACTGTTGATTAGGGCAATGGACCACAATCCACACTAACCCAGATCTTTTTGGGGAGAAGGGAAGTTGCCAACATCTAAGAGAAGAAATTTGCACAAAATACAAATGTATATATATTTTTTGCAACAAAAGAAACTATTTATTTGGAATATGCATTACCAGTACAAATTAGGAGACTGTAAAACCTACACCGTGTTAGTATCATTAGAGAACACAAAAGTTCAAGTTGGAATCAAAAGGGACAGAAGCCTGTGCTCTCACAAAAGCAGAAAAGCTTAAACTTTCAAAACCAAAACAGAGCGGAGCTTTGCAGGTTTATACTCTGAATAACAAGAAATGGGGAGGGGGAGAAAGGTGGGAGATAAAACCAACAGCCAAAGGAAAGCACTTCAAAATGAAAACACCAAAGGAAAGAAAAAAAGTAATAAGAGGGAAAGGGGTTGGGGACATTTTCTTTTAACAAAAGAAAAAAAAAATGTTTACAAAATAATAAAAGTTTCCAGAAAGCTTTGAGCTAGGGATTGAAACCATAAAGGTGATGTGAAAAGCTCGTCCTTATTTTGGTTTGAGTTAAAGAGTGTCATGTATTTGCGTGGGAATGCTTCCTAAAGTGTTGCTCCAAAGTTCGCTGTTTTTTTCATGTTTCTTGCTTGAGCAATATCTACAATTTGTTTCTTCCAGATAATATTGCTTTCTTTTTTCCTGTAACTAATAAAAACATTCCAAACCAATCTGGCTTTGTGATTTGCTTTAAGATGATTTCTAGATCAGAGGTTAATAAGACATGTACCATCAGTTACTCATGCTTAACATTTTAGCATTAAAGCTACAGCATGGAGTCTGGTAATATCTCACCACTTTTTCATCCAAAATCAGGACTTAGGATCAGCAGGCAGACAGGCCAAGGGTCTGCTTCCTGGATTTACTCTATTAAGCCCAGGGTGTCTATTGAACCAGTATCTTCTGCAGGTTCTTTTGGAAGAAAAACCCTCTCTAGTTGGAAAAGGTTTCATGGGATGTTGTTATTAATCAAGGAAAAAGAAAGCACTTGATTGTGATATTCCAAATCAACAAAGGCAAAAACTGCTTCCTACAGTATAAAAAGACCCCTTGGATTATTCCTTGAATTTTTAAAGAACCCAAAGGGGAAACAAGTCCCAGTATATTTTTCCCAGGGACTGCAGGAGTGCCACACATCCGGGAAGTGCAGGTCAGTGATGAGACATCAATATGGTCTTTGTTTCTGTCTTTGACCTCAGCTGAATTCCGAAGCAAAGCAGAACAAGGAAACAGTCTATTCTACCAGTGTCATCTTTTCACATCACCTTGTATACATATTTAATGAACAAAAATAGCAAGATCATAATCCTGACAATTAAAAAAAAGCCCCCCCCATAAACAAACCAAAAAAAGAAAACACAAAACAAAACTTTTTTTGTATTTTTAAGAGCAGGAATAAAGAAAAGAAAAGAATTTATTTCTGGGTCTCAAAGTTAATAAACATAATAATGTGTTAGGTTGTACCTATTATGCTCACTATTCCAACCTTTTTTTTTTTAGTTTACAAAATGAATTACTGTCACTTTTAAACATTGTGAAACAAGAAATGAATGTGCACAACTCGACACTTTTCTAGCATTCTTGAACTAATTCACAAATGCAAGAAAATAAAAGAAAAATGGGGGAAATGATGAATGTAGGTAGTTTGGTGTTAAAAACTAATGCAGGAATGATGCGTATTGTCACAGAAAGAAGGGGGAATCCCCATCTTGTTTTGCGTGCTATGAGGGTCATTTTTAAAATTTTTATTATAAACACTATTAAATTCAGACCGCTTTTTGGTTTTTTTCTTTATCTGAATATACAAGAACATTCATTATCAAATGTTCATCATCAATACTACAAAGAACAAGACACAAGTCGCAAGAAACAATGGAAAATGTTAATAAAGCTGAAAGAATTGTTGAGTATTTTTTTGTTTTTTTTAAGTTTTTTTTAAATTTGAGTTTCTGTAGTTTCATCTTTTTTGGTATCGAAGTCAGGTTTTTCTGGGCAGAAAAATAAAGAGCAGAAGGGAAGTGGGGGACAAGGTGTGAGAAAAGGCAACTAGCAAACAAAGAACCATCACAGAAAAATAAAAAAAATAAATCAAAAGAAGGTGCCACTTGGCCAGAGTACTGCCCAGGAGTCAATTCCCTGCCAGAAGGAGGAGTTAGGAATGGAAAGAAGGATACAATGAAGAATTACAGGTGGGCAAATCCCAGGTCTATTATCATTTCCTGGGGGAAAATTGCTGTCAGTGAAAAGGGTGCACTCCCATCTTCATTAAAAAATGAAGAAATCCCTGGGCACCTATTGGTGTCTTGTGGGATTGACCTACTACCTATTCCCAGGGACTGTGTTTCCAGAGGCATGCTCTTCCCATCCCACCCTTCAACTGCCACTGGGAGCTCCAGGTAATGTGGAGAGGTCTGTGGCTGCCATGTTGGACATGACTGCGGGCTTGAAGGGGAGAAATGTGAGAATGATGTTGGACATAAAGCGGAGCTGGTAAAGTGCTGGGTGGGGAAATACTGTGAGAGGTTACCACCAGTGCAAACTGCTGCTCAGGGTGGGGTAGAGGGTACTGCCTGTGCAAATGTAGCACTGCTCTGATATTTTTCATTAACTTAATGTGACAATCATTCAACCAGTGGGAGTCATTCTTCTTGTTTCCAAGAGAAACTTTCTGTGTTCCTTATATACTTTGCCCTGTCATATGATGTGATCCAACTGTATTCCTGTATACTTCCCATGTGTTCCTGCCCCTAAGACAAACTTCTCCATAGTTATCACTGGAGTTGTTACAAAGATGTGCCTTTTAGGCAACCTATCCATCTAGCCCTGTTATGAATATAGGCTAGGCTAGTAGACATAGTCTTCCTAGTATCCTTGGTCATCTAGGCATAACTGCATTTTGCCTAATATTTACTTTTTTATTTTCTTCAAATACACAAATTATGTTTCTTAGGTAGCATCCCCGTCTTCTCCAAGCACACACAGAGGAGGAGTGTTCATTATTGTAGTAGTACGCAGACTTTTCACAACCTTATTGTCTGGACATCCTTACCCTTGAGGATCTCCTAAACTTCTGTGGAAGCCTCTCAAGCATAGTGGATGTGATAGGGGTCAGCTGCTTGTAAGGCCACCTATTGGATTCAAGTAGAAATAGAACTGGTCCTATTGTTCTAGTTGGGAAGCTTTCTTCAATTCTAAGAAACCAAACAGACCCAAACCAAACCAACCCCCACCTCAAAGCTAAATAAAAAATAAAAAATAAAGAACCTCTTTATCATTATGGCGATGACATCAGGGTCCAGATGTTAACCAGAAGTTAGAACAAGAAAACCACTTATTGTCCTGATAGAGCACAAACCAGTTTATCTTAGGGATGTTACCTCCCCTAACTTCACATTTTCAGATTGGTTATGAATGCATTCAAGTTATTCAGTCTCTCACATGCCCGTTGGTGAGCCACACAGAATAATTCCCACTTTACAGATGAAGACAGTTGGGCACCAGAAGATTTTACCACCTCTTACTTAATAAAGTGATAGAGCTGCCATCCATATTGCTGGCAGAATTGGTGATAAAGAATGTCAGCTCAGGTGACATCGGAGAATACCTTTCTGGCATATGCTATTGTCTCTTCGATATCCCCAGGGAATACAAGTCAGCGTGATGACTTTGATGAAAGCATTATGACCCCTACCCCATGCCTTTCATGTCATCAAATTAAGCTAGCAAAAAGTTCACTTAAACCACATTCTAACACCACTTTTTCCTCCAGAGGAAAAGGTCAGGATCAAGAACTTGATGCAGTAGAATCCTTTGGATAATTAATATAATGTGCCTTATAGTAAACCAAAAATAAAATAAGCGTATTTGTAAGCACTGTGTATGGCTCCCTGAGACCTCCAAAAGTAGTAAGAACGGGAGTAGATGACCCTGGAAACATGACCTTCATCACAAGAAAGTCCTGGGCAATCTACACTGGTAAATGTGTGCTGGTGGGCCTGCTGGTCCTAGACGCTCCAGGCACATATTGCTTCTCTGTGTCAGCGACCTTTACTTGGAGCTGCTAATTGTCCCTCATAAGCGTACCGGAGAGAGTGCTATACTGCTAACGTATGCATTTGCACATGGTGTCTTGGGAAGGTAGTAAAGGTGTGGGAGTGTGCATGTATCCCCATGTGTGTGCACAGGCGTGAAGGGCAGTGGAGGGTTTCGGGGTCAGAACCTTCTACTCCTCACTGATGCCTTCATCACTATGCCTCACTGAGGCCTGGTTGGCAGTCAGATTTGAACACTGCTTCCTAAGTATGCAATGGTCTCCAAAGACCGTGCCTCTCAAACTGGGAGCCGTGGTGAGGAGTGGGAGAAAGTCTGTAGGAATTTTGCCCTTCCTGTTCCTCCTGCCCTCCCCTGCTATCTGACTCCCTGCCTGGGAATCCACCTGGTAGAGCTGAGACTGGAAAGAGGGGTAGCTGGAGAAGCCCACCTATGGCAGTCCCCAGGGAATATCTGGGGCTGGGAAGAAAGAGGCCAGAGTTCCAATCAGGATTGTCCCCAGGGAGGAGGAGCAAGAGGTGACAGGGAGGCCTGGGATGAGGAGGGCAATGTGGCATATTCCTGCTAAGAGGTAGTGAGAATAACAAGAGAAACAGAGAAGGACTGCCTGTTAACATGGGGAGAGAAGGATCCGAGGGAGGCAAATTTGGTTCCTCAAACCACCAGCATGAAAACATACAAACGCTTTTATTATTTTCTTTGTAATTTTTTTTTCCTCTTTAAATTCCTCTAATTGTTGAAAATATCCTTCAGTGATGTGATGGAGGGCAGGGACCCCAGGAGGCTAGAACAGAGGAGAGCAGGCAGGGAAGATGACGGAAACGAGGCTGAGAGCTGGAGGCAGGGGAGGGTGGCTTCTACCCAGAAAAAAAGGGAAGAGAGTATAAAGAAGTGTCCAGATTGGCTGAAATAGCATCCCAAAGAAGAGAAGAGAAGGAGACTCTTATTGTGTTTGCTGATTGCTTCGACCTCCAGTCTGACCGCTTCAGCGTTGGGAGAGAAACCCTCCCTCCTGCCCCTGCCCCAACTGGGGCACAGGGTCAGCCGGGATGCGATTGCTGGGAGATCAGTTGGAGGTATCAGAGTGAACACTGCCAGGGCCTTCTGTAGGGGAGGTCACTGATGAAGGGGTAGTAGCATCCTGCCAACCTCCATTAGCCTAGAAGGGAAAAAGGGAGAGAAGTCAGTTCTCTGATTGGGTGGTTGTTCTGAGCAGACAATGACAATGAGGCAACTTGTGGAAAGGACCTAGCGCAGTGTGTAGCACAGGGGGACACTCATTACTGCTGCTAATAATACTCCCCCCACCCATGGGTGATTCAGGTTCTCCCAGGGAGCCTTTGGGCACAAGGCTAGCCCTCCCATGTGTGTGATGCACCTGAACTTCTCAAAGACCTCTTGATTCAGTCCCAGCCATTGATAGAATGATACTATTCTCAAAGTCAAGAGATCTGAGGGGCGGTTTTGTGGTTTGGTTCCCACCCTGACTCTTGGTAACAAACAGATCTTGACAACAGTGAAGCTCCTTCACCTCTTTGCCCTTGGACTCCTTATTTGAAAAATAAGAAAGGCGGCCCAAAAGCTTTCTGAGGTCCTTTCTACCTCTGTGTATTCTAGGCTTATAGGATTCCAGGTCCCTGTCTATGCGAAGTTCTGTACTAGAAGCTCTTAAGTATATGATGATGAGCGAGCTAAGGTTCACATCCTCAAGGAAGAGGGTCAGACAAGGCCATGAATGAACTATAACTCAAAGCAGAACCTAACAACCAGCAAAGCCCCAGTCTTAGGAAGGTTGCAGTAAAGACTAGTGACACTGTAACTATTGAAGCAGGAACTGCTGGACCTCATGGAGGAGATATTCACTCAAGTAAGCCTTGAGAAACAGAGGGTGGCCCTGGGGAACATGACAGGTAAAATAGGGTGACCAAGGCTGTAGGACTCGTCTCTGTGAATGTGTTGGAAAGGCAGCAAGACTGATCTTCAGAAGTCATTTTTCTAAAGCTCTAGATCTAGAAGCAGCCACAACAATGGAATTGTTCTACAAGGATTCATTTAGTGACCAGTACTTTAAAAGACCATCCCAGAATGAAAATAGTCAAAAAGATTTGCCATAGTGGTTAATTCATGGTGCACAGTTCATAATTGTGCATATGTTTTCAAGGCAATAAGTATAATTGTCCTAAAATGTCTTTTTCCACCAGTCACCCTGTTCTTCAAACTCTGGACATGTTAATGTTGAACAAAGCAAGTCTTACATATTCATGGTAAATATATTTTCTATTGTACTTTCATTTTATTTTTTGAAAAATTTGGAGTGGAAGGGGCAGGAATTACTATTCCCACTTGGGCAGGAGCAACACTTCCACTCTGGTATAATCCATAGCATGCAAGAAACGACCTAGCACCTAGTAGGGGTTAACAAATGTCTGTTCATCTTTCATTCATGGACAAGCAGAGGTGTAGGAGAAAATCAGCCTTCCTGCTCCATGACTGAGACACATCACAGGCCTTCTAACCCCTGGATCTGGCTCTCATTTTTCTCCTTTTTTTTTTTTTACCTATTTGGTTTTCTTTGTCATTGGCTAATGCAAATGATACTTCAATTCCCCAGGAAAGCCAGGTTTTCATTCAGAGTAGCTCTCAACAGTCACTTTAGCAAGAGGGTAGATTTTGTGGTCTTTCCTTATTGAAGGGCAAATATGGGTTCCAACAGGCAAGCATTCATCTTGGGTAATGCCAAGAATGTGTCTCCTACACCATAGGTCCATAAATAACTGCCCTCAAACTCCAGTCTCCCAGCTTCTAATCCCATCAGTTGCTCCTCCGCCCCTACTTGGCCCTGTTGGGAGCCCTTTCCCTGTTGTTTGTGATAAGGATATCCAACAGAAGACAATGAGAGGAAAATGAGAATTCCTTCCTTCATGAGAGAAGGCTTTTTCATCTTCTTGAGGCCAAGACCCTGCAGTATAATTCAAATTGAGAACAGAATGAGTTCAAATTCATAATGCTGGTGTATCATGGAGAGATGATATTTTTGTCTCCCTCCCCAACCACAAATGTATATATTCTGGTGCCATTTCACATTGATTGAGAACAGAGGTTATACTTATTTCTTAACTGTAGAAAAACTTTTAGCACATTATCTTTTTTGTGTAAAGTAAGATATGCTTATCATTAATATTTGGAAAACAGGCATAAAGAAGGACATATTCAACACCCATAATTTTACTACTCAGAGATAATTACTGTTAGCATTTTGATATCTGTCTATCTCAATAATCCTTTTATGTGCTTATGTTTACCAGATAGTTATATGGGTAGATAAATAATAGATGATAGATAGATAGATAGATAAAGAGATAAATGATATGGGTGGGGTGTGTGTGGGGCGTGAATTGTACTGATGTGTGGGCTGACTGAAAAGCATGGAATTTTAAGGAAATTTGATAAAGATTCTTTAAGTACAAGTTCATGAAGCAGGGCTGGGGACATAGCTCAGTGGCACAAGTGCCTGCCTGGCAAGCCCAAGGTCCTGAGTTCAATTTCTGGAATCAATGAAGAAAAACTTCATGAAGCAGTGTAAAATACTACTGAAAGGAAAAGAAAAAGCCAAAGTTGTATATTTTAGGATCAACCTTGCATGAAACAAGTAGCTAAGGAAACCCTATAAAAAATAAGTTGAGCATTCATGTCATGGTATATGTCACAAAGAGGTTTCATTACATTGGTCACAAATCACTACTAGTAACCACTATCTAATTCCACTAAAGTAACAACAATTGGTGCCCTGCAAGGAAGTTATGAGTAAAGAAAATGAACTCTGCAGTGCTTCATCAGGAAGAAGTGGGCCCAGAAGGTTCTGGGAGACTTCTTTCTGAGTTATCTCTGGGCTGAAATAACTCAAAAAGTAGACATTTGAACTGTTCTTAAAAGTTGTACTTTCTTAGGCCAGTGCATAAGATGCCAAGAGGGTACAGAGAACTCACAGACAGCAGAGGCAGGGACTTCAACCAGATATCAGAACTCACATTTGAAGTATGCCTGGTGAAGAAAATATATAGAACACCCTACCAAAATCAAATACATACAATAAACTTCTATAGCTTTTTCCACCCCTCCGCCACCCAGAAAAACAGAGATACAAATGTGAGCATGCATACCCACCTCAAACTGGGCATCACCCCTGTGTGTCCGAGACCCTCCTAGTCAGCCCCCAAGAGTCTTATATTCCTGCTACCTGAGCACAATTGTGGGTCACTCTTTCCCAGGATATCCTAACCATAAAACCCTATTTGTTGCCAAATTTAGGTTACTGAAGTCTACGGGGTCCAAGTACACAAACACAAGTGCTTTGTAGAACCAGCATTTCCAACACTAGGAGACATGGAAGGACTCTTTTCTCTGGAGGTGTTTTATACCATCTACACTGCTGGCTGCCAGTGCTGCTAAAACCAGCAAGAGATCAGACAGTGCAAGCAAATTTAACTTCCTAGTTTCCCGTAAATCACTTTGGCTTCTTCAGCTGGATCATTCCCGCTTTAATGTAAGGCATTCAGAGGCTGCACTGTCTTGGGAAACAGCTGACCTCACTTACTTGCCTAGGTAGCCCTGGGGACCAATTCCTTCCCTCTTCCTCCACTGCGGGTGAATATTAAGTAGGAAGCTCCGCCTTTGTGTGTTTATCTCTGAGCACAGTGAGAGAGTAGAGGATGCTCTCATTAACAACTGTTCAGGGGTGGCGGGAAGCGAGACTCTCATTTTTCTTTTGCAACTGCACTTCCCCCTTCATTCTCTGATGCAAAATACTCTGTGGACTGGATCTAATCTCCAAAACACTAAAGTCAGAAACTATCCTGAGGGGTTCAAGGGCTGGGAGGGAGAATCTGCAAAAGCAAAAGTGTCCTCAGAAATCATTCCTAAGGAGGAGAGGAAGAGAGGCTACCCCTGATTCTACAAGTAATCCTGCGCCCAGGGCAAGCATGGGTCAGCTGACTCCTAATTCTGACAGATGAAGTCTCAAGCAAGTAGAGCAGCTCCACCTGGAGCTCCATGGATGCAGCCACTAAGAGGACAACACACAGCATCTTTCCACAATAAGAAACCTGGGTTTTCAAAGCTCTCATTAAAGATAGTTGGGAATAGGGGCTGGGGACTTAGCTCAGTGGCACAGCACCTGCCTGACAAGCGCAAGGTCATGAGTTCGATTCCCAGTACTGGGAAAAAAAAAAAGATAGTTGGGAATAAAACATTTCAGAACAAAGAGTATTTGTATAGCCTACTCTAATGAATTTGCCACATAATTTGCTATATACCAAATCTTGCAAGAACCCTGTTTAAGGATAAGGCAAAACATGCCTGTCTGAGGAGGAGAGTCTACATGGTTTCCCTGACAAAACAGAAGGTGCAGAATTTAGGAGAAGCTGGGCATAGTGGTGCTCACCTATAGCCCCAAAACTGAGAGGCTGAAGCAGGAGAATCACGAGTTTGAGGCCAGCCTGGGCTATGCAGTGAGTTCAAAGCCAGCCTGAACTTCACAGCAAGATCATGTCTCAAAAATTTGAAAGAATTACAACTGAAACTATGACCTCTATCTTCTCTGCCACCTCTTTCAACCAGAACAGCGCCTCCTGCAGCTGCCCCTCCCTAGCTGTTGTGGACCCAGCAGCGCTTTTAGCCCAGCACTCTGCCTGCTGAGCTGAGAAGTGCCTGTCCCATCTCTTCTTCTTCATGCTCTTCCTCTGTGCTTACCTTAGCAGCACGCTGTTGATGCAGAGAATTCATCACCTGATGTGACAGCCCAAGTGAGCCTGGCACTAAGAAACTCTCATTTGCAACCCAGAAATACGCTGAGATGCCACAAACCAGCTGATGTCAGCACAGAGTTGAGCTGGATCTGCATACGGGCCAGATGCCGTTACCAGAGATGGCTTTGGTGGGGGTGAGATGTACGTGCTCCAGGCCCTCAATCACCAGGTGCTGGTGGGGCTGGCCAGTGGGGAAAACAAAGAGACACAGATCCTCTCTTCCCATCTATGTGCATGCACACACACACACACACACACACACACACACACACACACAAATACACACACGCACACATACTGTATACAACATATCCTGGAGACATCGGCTAACATAGTAGAACCCCACTTTAGGTTC